TCAGTGGCAGGGACCCCATGCTCCGGGTTTGGGACACAAATGTGTTCCATTCGACACCCGAAGTTACGGGAATCCCCACTAAGCAGGTTTTGAAGGGGTTGCTGGCACTGGTCAAGGCCAGGCACAAGGTGTCCGTGCCCGTGGCCTTGGCCAGCGTTACCCACAAGTTCTCTGAAGGTTGACTCATCCAATCTCTTAGTGGCGACATGATGATGCGAGGGATGAGTCCGATGGTGATGCTCAGGAAGATGTAGAATGGGAGTGCTTGCATCTTTCTCTTCAAGTCTGGGAGATCTTTATCCGCTTAGCAGGGACCCACTTCGGCCCTTCTGAACCTGAAATACATGCATAGCCCTTCCCCCAGGTGATCAGGGGGAAAGGGCCCGTCCATGTCTCCGTTAGTGGGTCTTTATACATGATTTTTGCTTTCAATGATGACGGTGAAGAATCTGATTTGAAGTGTCGATCTACGGGACTTCTGTTTAGGTGAGTATCAGATTCCTCCATCATGTTTAAAAAATTTAAAACATACATTATCTTTTCCAATCTGTCTTGGGGGGACAGGTCAATACTCCCTCTCTTTTGTTTTTTAAGTAAATTTTTGCTCTGCTATAGTTGTAATAGTTTTGCCGAATTGATGAGGGAGGAATACCCACTCCCATAAACAGAAGTCTCTGTTATCAGTGGTAAGCTGACCCAGCAGGGCCAGTGGTTGTTTTTGCTCACGAATTATTACAAGGGAGGATGGCAGTCCCTCCGTCCTCTTAAATGATTTTCTCTCTGATATCTTTTTCTCAACAATGGTAAGGGAGTTTTCAGCCTCTGTTGTTAATGATCTGGGTGAGGACAAATCAGCATCTCCTAAAAATTTTCATCTGGAGACAGTGTTGCAAATAACTAAAGTTAAGCAATTGGTAGTAGAATGGTTAAGGCTTGATAGAACTGTAGGCCTGGAAAACTATGGTCAAAAAAAGGTAGTTAAGCAACAACCCTGTTCATAGGAATAGAATGTGCTGAAGAAGTAGAAACAATAATCAAAAGATTTAGTCA